CCTCGGCCTCTAGCAACGGGGGGAGCAGCTTCTCCCGGGTCAGGAACGTCTTCCATACACGTCCTCACCATCTGTGAGAGAATAGAAGAAGAAAATTTAGTATACCATCAATATGTTATTTGTTTTGAGCAGTGGTAAAATTTAATTTTCTAATGCATCAATATTTTACAGTTTACTTATGTTGCTAGAGATCATAAGTGAACTTTTGAATGATTCTAAATTTGACTTTATCAAAATGGTTATTATACATATATCTAAAGGAACTCATATATGTATATTATTGTCGATTGCTTTTTTCGCCCTTGCCTCGCTGAAATATTTTTTTAATGTCAATATGAGCCTTAAGAAATTTGTGATTCTTGTGGCGACAGTGTATATATTGAAAAGTATATTGCATTTTGGTGGAAGTACTTTATGATCTAAAAAGCCCAAATAATATACGGCCCCTTAAAGTTGGCTTCAGTTTTTATTTTAACACTTTAACTAAGTCAGTACCTATTGAACACTCTGACCCAGAAAAAATGTACCTATCGAACATGTCATGACCCAAATTCAATCGTAGGTCATGATGGCGCCCGATACCGTTGTCAGGCAAGCCAACTCTAATTCAACTACCAGGTTCTCATTATTTTACCAAAACCACCCCAACATTTTTCTTAACAGTTAAGCTTTTAAACAGTCGATAATTAACAAGATCATAATAATATAAGTACATCCCAAAATAATAGTCTAGAAGTGTGTGCCAGGAACTAGTGTCACAAGTGCTAGGGCAACTAGTAGAATGTACAAAAAAACCACTATCCTACTGCCTAAAACAGAATAGACAGTACATAATAACAACAAAAGAAGAGACTCTGATATGTTGCTGAACGGCTCAGAAGGGGGAAGCTCACCGTGAGATCTCGATCAGGAATCAGGGATGCGCACTGGACGGGTAACTAGATGCACCTGCCTCAGATACTGTACAGTTAAGTACAGAAGCGTAGTATGAGTACATAAACAACATGTACCCAGCAAGTATCCAGTCTAACCTCGAAGAATTAGTGACGAGGGGTCGACTTGACACTTACTAAGGTCAATATCAATAATATTTAAGGTTTACGCTAAGCATGGATAGCATGAATATAGTGACAGTCTCAGAACAAGGAGAAACAATATATCAATTGCAGCCATGTCATACAATAATTTACATTTCAAAGCATTTAAATAGAGTAAATCATGGATGAATCCCACATAAATAACATGGGCACATTATACCGAGGTCGTACGGCCCGGACCAACATAATAATAACCGTGCACTGCCAGAGGGTTGAATGGCGCGAACCAAAGATGCATCTATTTCTACCGAGGTGATCGGCCTGATCCACAAATAGCAATTATTATCAAGTAAGCACACATTGCTCATTTATAGTCAATAAATTCATACAAGTTCTCAAGTAAGTGCGTACATTTGTTTATATTTATTTACAATTCCTAGCATGTCCTAACTGATCTCAGTAGCAAGCAAGAACGTAAGCATTTGCAAGTATGGCATGATACGAGTCCTAAACTATCCGGGCAATTAGCATAATAGTAGCTACACACGGACTCTCGTCACCACATACGTACGTAGCCCCCACAGATAGTCACATACATTTATTTAATTAACCTGGGGGGTTATTTCCCTCTTACGAGGTTAGAAAGGAGACTCACCTTGCTCCAAAGCTTACTTCCAATTTCAAGAACACGCTCAAACCCTCAAGCTTTGAAGAATTTCCTACAGGTTTCGTGATGAAGTATTTTCCATAAGATTTACAATATAAGCAGACTTATTATCATTAGTGGGAGTTCATTAGCTACTGGGATTTCATTAAACCACCATGTGCACTGTATGGAGTCCGATCTCGGCCTGATCTGCTAAGTCATCTCACCACAATGTCGTGTGGATCGACATTCGTTTGCTATCAATTTCGTTACTCCCAACCAAGGGAGACTATCTATTCGTCCAAGACAATGGTACGACCATAGTCTTACACTAGCACGTGTAGCTTCGGGTATTGGCCCTGTTGACCAATGCCTTCTCCTTACATAATAGGGAAACTTACACAAATGTCCCAAATAAATCTCAACTTACCAACCTCTAGCCATTAATCATAGACTTACCAAAACTAGCCAACAAAAATTAAAAAACCAAATAACGGGGTTCTTTCTCTCAAAGAATCACATGCAAAAATCACCTTCCATATTTTTAAGCGTGATTAGCAACACTAGATACAAGACGGAAAGGAAATTTTATGGATGAGGTAGCAAATAAGGTGATGAAATACAAAAAATATATACAATATTCCAAAAATGTAAACAAAAAAGGAACTTTTTCAATGGGTATAGTTGAAATTCATTGAAAATATATAGATAAGTCAATATACAAAATTTGAGGAAGATTGGAGGTGATTTGGGTTGGTTTTGTATCAAAATTCGTAATTAAATCGAGTTCAAAAAAGTCTTCTGCGACACATGTATCAAACATGTATCACGCATGTATCTCACACATAGGTATACATGGATATACATGTGATACACAAATGATACACTGTGTGATACATATATTATTTTTTTCTTGTTGTTCTTGGCCAAAATAAAGATTCAAGCAAGAATCTAACGTTTCCAATGTCTAATCTTGTTAATATAAGTGTTGGAGAGTTGGAGTCAGCCTAAAAAGATGGCAGAAATGTTATGGATCCCCCTAATCTTGGCAACTTTTGTTTAGTTCCCTTTTAAATTTTACATGGTCTTTAATATTCCACTGAACTTGAAAATTTGATAGTAACCACCTAGATGCTGACATGGCAAAGAGCGTGAATACACTCTCTTTTAGGAGCGTGAGAGGGAAGAAAAATTAAAAAATTAGTTTTCAACTGGGGTATGTTTTAACTATTAGTTGTCACATAATCAAATATGATGATTTATTTATTCCAATTGTATTTCTCGTTGTTTCTTCTTAATATGTATTGCATATTTTATCCCAATTATATTTTTTAGATATAATGAATATATGTTACAACTACGTATTTTTTATCTTTCTTTTCTGGTCAAAATCTATAAAAGTTAGTTGAAATTCCATTTATTTTAGCCAGTTAAAAAGATCTAGCCAAACTAATGAAGTTCAAATGCTGTATTTTCTACAAAAAAAAATATTGTGTATTTTTATTTTCATTTTTTATGCAATTACTATTTATTTAACTATGTATTTTTCTTTTTTCAAGTCAAATTCGCAAATATTTGGTCGGAATTTTACTATTAACTAAAATATTTATTTAGCTAATATATGGAGTTCCAACAACGTTTTTCTTTAACTTTTTTTTTTAGGTGCAATGATAATATGTTCTAACTATATATTCCTTTTTTTCGTGACCAAATATGTAAAAGTAACTTGATTAAAATGTTATTATCTTTTGTCAAATAAAAAATTATAATCAAAATAACATTGTTTCAAGTTTTTTTTCTTCAGACTTTGGCACGAAAAAATGATTTAAATAGTTGATGAACTTAAAAAGATTTTTAAAAATATTTTATTATAAAAAATGCCACGTGGACAAAAAAATTCATGTGGCGGCGAATGAATTGTTAGCGTCCAGGGGGCCAAGGCTATGAAATTGCCAAGTCCGAGGATATTAAAGACCATATAAATATTAAGGAGAAACTAAATAAAAATTATCAAGTTCATTGGTCCGAACTATTCGATCATTAAACTTTCACTTGGATATTTCAGCCCCTTAAAAGAAAACATCCGAAGGCTTGCGAGTTGCGTAGCTTGTTGGTCTCCTGCGTACCTTTGGTGCATAGGCTATCCTTTGTTGATATTGGATTTCTTTTTAATTAAACAAAAGAATATATATTAGCAAGTGCAAATTAGCTAAATTGTAGTAAATTTTTTATATTAACAATAAATATATTAAAAGAATTTTTATATAAAAAAAAAGAATCAAAATAAGAAAGGTAAAAATAATATTATAAACTATAATATAAGTTAGTGATGCAAAAATCGGGGGAGGTATCTGAAATGATCCCTTAAACAAATTGCTAAACTCTTAACTATACAAAAAAATTGGTCCCTCATGTATTGGTAAAGTGTTATTGTAATCCTTGTAATATTCGATTAAACACATGAAACGTTCCATTACTTAAAATGTGCACTTTTGATCCCTTTCCGCGGGGATAATCACAAATTTTCAGAAATTATTAGCCATTCCACCATTAACACAAAAAATAAAACTAAATTAAAAATTTCCCAAGCCTTCAGCCTTATAAAATCACTCATAGATATGGTAACAAAAATAGGCAATAAAATAGGTCAACTGCTCTGTATAAACAATTGCACCATATCAGCCAGTACCTGAACTATGCTAGGCTATGCCTAAAACTGCCTCCAGAGAACTCATTGCTAACAGAAATCATCATAAGCAAACATGCAAAAATCTGCTAACTTGAATCCACCATTTAATTGTGGATATCTCTCTCATACACAACACATCACATTAATCCATAATGGATATAATAATCATGCGTGATCGAACCAAATAAATGTTACATGTCTGTACAAATTCACAATTATGCACGGTTCAAAATTAGGAGGTTTGTACAAATTCAGGTGACAAAATTAAGGTCACCATGTACATTCTTTGGACATCTACTCAAATCTAGCCAAGTATATACAAATATATATATATAATACATGTTCGGGAACGTTTCCTCTTGTTAGAGAATAAATATTTAGCAAAAGCAAAATGTCCCACTCTTTCAAATTATTCATCCACCAACCAACTCCCAGTATTCACAAATTCTTTCCTGCTATTGACAATCCTGTGGATTTGCAGATGGGACAAGTGTTCTTCACAACCAACCACTTCTTTACGCACTCCGCATGATATTCATGCCCGCAGTCAAGAGTTCCTATCGTTTCTTGGTCGTCGTAATCAGCCTGAAAAAGAAGGCATAACATACATTGCAAGCCATCAGAGATATAAAGAAAGGATAAGCAAAGAAATGTAGCTCCACAGGGAAGAGCACGGCAAAGAATTAATAGCACATAATTGGATAATAATCATGCATTACAAATCCAGACAGCATAAATACGAAACACAGCATTCTATGTAAACAGACAAAGATGGAAAAGAAACATCACCAACAATTTGGCTGGTGGAAATCCAAAAATTAATGATGTCATCCAACTGAGATGGAAGGCAAGCTTATAAAGACTTAGGAAGGTATCCAAAGCATCCTCTAGTAAACTGTTGTCAACAATTCAGCTGACAGTATAAGCTCTTTCTTACATAGATACGACCTAAGATCACAGTATAAGTTTTCGAAGTATAATCTTGCAACTACACTTAGTTCTTATAATTGGATATCAACCTATTCTTTCTTCAAAATATTCTATACTGTCACTTCTAGAATTACAAGAAAATATAGGAAAAGAAGACAAAATCAATTCCAAGCGCAAAAAAGTTTTCCATGTGGATGGATTTGCAAAATCATAAATTTGCTTTACTAGGAGGAAGATAAAGCATTATAAGGAGACAGTTGTGCTAACTTCATATTTCTGATTAATACAATTTCTCTCCCACACTGACTTAGTTACCAAATGAAGCATCAAGCGAAATTTCTTTAACCGTGGTTTTTCTAATTAGATGTTCAATACTTTCCTAATCCTAAATTGGTACTAGTAATCTTGCCATTAGTTTCTAGCTTTATAAATTAACTTTAAAAGATAATAAACCAAGGTCAGAATGAGAGAGAAAACAAGAGATAGGTAAAAAAAATTTGGGGGAATTGGAGGGGTAATGCTTTTTTAATAGGATTTAGAAGCGACTAGTTGCATTACAAAAAATGGTGAATAGAAGATTAATGATTATGAGAGTGAAAACAAGAATAACTATAAGCACATAAACTAAGAGATATAAGAACATTTCCTAGGAAGTTGATTTAGAATGGAGTTGAACAAAACAAATTAAAACCTACTAATCTGGTTGTCCGTGCAAGAGATTAACACTTTGTCTAGAATGGAGTTGAAGTTCACAGCAAATTAGAACCTACTAATCTGGTTGTCTGTGCAAGAGATTAACTCTTTGTCTTGGTTAGTGTGCTTAAACAGGACCTAAAATAAAATGAATCGGAGAAAAGGAGACTAAAACAGAGCCATCCCAACAGTAATCCCTGCAAATGTCATAGGCAAACCTACTCCTACTCAAAGTATAAATAAGCATCAATACCTGGCATATGACACAGAAATCAGTTTCGTGATCCAAACATGCAGCGCTTTCCAGGAGGCAGGGAATCCCAGGGGACGAAAATGTTCTGGTTTTCAAATGGCTAATGATTATTTCATCTGACAATCCAGTTGTTACATTGCCAATCTGCTCCCCCAGTGCAAGAAGCTCCTGGTAAAGAATTTTAAAGTTGCAGAAATTTAATTACTAGATGTTATGGAAACTAATTGCGGAGCAGACAATAATACCGAACTGGTAACTAACATAAAAATAAAGTAGAGAATTAGCATATACTCATCAACCATCACAACAAATGTTAGACAGTACATATAATAGAGAAACCTATTCCTCACCTCATAGGACATGTGATCTATGTCCAAACGCATATCTCTGTGCTGATCAATGGGGGGGTTATTAACTTCATGGTAGACTGGAATATCCAGCATTGCCACTCCCTACATATAACAACCAAGAAAAGATAATCCCACTAGCATTCAATCCCATAATTTCAAATGCATCAAATTAGACAATAATATGACAAAGGAAGTGATGGGACATGGTCAAACAGATAAAAAGTTTACATCTTCTGGCAGAACTCTCATGTTAGGAAGGTTCCGATGTCTAGTATTCCGTTCAAGCACGACAGCCCTTCGATGAGGTCTGTACAACCCAAAGGCAGTTGGTAGCGAGGGCATATATCTTGGTCCTGCCTCTACAGCGCCTTGCAATAGGTTGGTGGTGATGTTGGAGGAATTATTTGGTAGTAGGTGTCTGCGTGAGGATGCTGTCATTTGTGGAGGGAAGGTGATAGCCTGTCCTCTCATTCCTTGAAAATTAGGTGGCAGATGATGAAGGCTTGGGTGCCCTTGAGGAATGGGTGGATGTTGAAAACTATTCAAACCTCCATTGCTGGATGTTATTTGATAACCTTGCACGCCCATGTTTCCAGCATCTAAGAGTAATATAGAAAAGCAAAACAGATGCAATCAGTTCCTGAAGTTAAAGTGACACGAATTTCACTTGAAGATTTGAAGGAGGAGGAGGGGTGGGGGGGAACTTTACTGGAGGAGATATAGAAAAAGGTGGGACACATGCAATCATTTATCAGAGTCAACTTTTAGCAATTAGAATCAGCAACGGCAAAAAGAAAACAAGACATGTTTTCCTATGGATTTTTCCAGGCCAAAAGAAGCTAAAAGATTTGTTTTGATAAGGAAGGAAGCTAAAAGATTCATTGTTCAGCTGGATGGTATGCCAGTAGCACATAAGAAAACAAAACTTTAAACAAGGAGAAGATTAGCAACAGTGGACCTAGGAAAAATAGATGCCTAAATCTCAATTAAAAAATGAACATAAATTACCAGGTACATAGGGTAAAGGAGCAGCATGATTCCAGGCCCAAGTTTGAGTCTCACTACCATTGCTGTTGAACTGCCGGTCCAACCAAGGATTGCCAGGCAACTGATGGGCTTGACCTGCATAGCTTCCTTGAAATAGATGATTATGGTTACGTGCTGCCACGTTATCTGGACCACTAGCACCAGATCTGTTACTCATACTTCTCGGTGCTCCATCTTCAATGAATGATGATGAATTGCCTGCATAATTTGGTGGTGTAAATGATGCAGCATCCATTAAGACATCAGATTCGTGTGCCCTTGTAATCACTGGAGCAACAGAAGAACTGGAGCCTGCCAAAGCATGATGATATTGAAGATTTGCAGGGATTCCTTCAGCATTCTTTCTCTTAAATGAGCTTCTGATATCGTCCATGTAATGATTGTTCCTTCCATAGCTGTCTGAATTCATTCCAAGGATGTTGTGAGAGCTTGATTGAAGCTGATCATGTGGCCCATGATTTATTGGAATGGGGAAGTCTCTAGAAGCGGATGGAACAGCCATGTAGGGATTGTAGTGATTTGATGAAGCAGAAACGGCAAGGTCAAGATTGGTGGTTGGATGCTGATGTTGAACCGCATTGTACCGTGTCACCCCATGCTGATGGTCTGCTAGATGGTGCAAATAGATATTGCCAGCATTTCCAGGAGCTGGAATTACTGTGTGAACATTAGGCTGTGGTAAAGCCGCTAAGCTCCCATAAAATATGCAAGGCTCAGAATGAAAGAACTCTTGACCTTGCTGATCTGCTTCCAAATCAAATATATAATTACCGTGTGACATACTCCTTTGGCCTATCTTGGTGGTTTACAATTTTGTTGGGTGATGCCTGCTTGGAGGAGAACAAGCTATCAGGCGTACTGTATCCTAATAATATCATTGACTAAAGCATTGTGTAAACTTCATAGAAGGCCAGCTGAAAATCATTTCTTTAGAACAGAGTGATAATCATTTCTTTAGAACACTGACATTTAGGTCCGTGGACGCTTATTATTTCAATTTCTCTAACTTCATCTCAGTAAGTGAAGTTCAATATTGAATCTAAAGCTGAAGCAGTTCTTATTCAAGATATTTAGGATTCACATCTTCAATTCAGAAAATTGAGCTCGGCTAACACATCCATCTCAATATAACACTAACGACCCTAGATAGAAGAGCATGGAGGTCGAGGATTAGAGTTAGTAGGTAATCGAGCGATTTTCCTCCTTGTGGGAGAGCATGGTTCTAGTTTAGAGCACCCTCTGCTCCCTCTTCTCTGTATCAGTTTTATTATTATTATTATTATACTATTATCTTATTTCTTAAATTTTATTACTATTGTTGTTTCTTTTACTTTAATTATCTTTACTATTTTGCTGTCAATACTTTTGTTTCTTCAATATTTCTATCATAGCTTTTTACTCTTGTATTTTTTCAAACCTGTTTTGGAAAAGCCTTTCTTGAGCCGAGGGTCTATCGGAAACAGTCTCTACCTCACACAAGGTAGGGGTAAGGTGTGCGTACAACTCACCCTCCCCAGACCACTCATGGGATCACACTGGGTAATGTAGTTATTTTTGTTGAAATAAGGCCACATAGCTCATTGTGTTTTTTCAACTGTAGTTATATGTAGTAAAAGCAACCAAACCAAACAGAAATAGAAACAAGAATATAATGAACCAAATAAATATGGCATGCGGAGACTTGGCAAGCTCTTCTTTCTGATTCGGAGAACAAACACGTCAACCAATTATTGCCGAATTCACTACTCATGAAGATCTTCATGATGGCAAACCAAATTGCATAGAAAAATATTGGGCCCATCATTCATCTTCAGATTGAGCAAACAGGCCGGGATAGAGAGATCACTTTATGTAGCAGAAGCACAAAGATGAAGATAAATAATCATCCTAACTTCACCTGTCCCACAAATCAAGAAGAACATCAGTTCTAGCAGAGAGCGGCCATATCACTGAAGATATAGAGATCTGCATTCTGGTGGTAGATATTAAAGGCAGGGCAGTGACACTGTTACACACTGCCCCAGAAAACAATGAACTCAGCAGGATACTAATGTAGAAGTTACATTAAGGGGTAAAGGTGGAGGGTGTGGGTTTCACTGATGGAGGACACTGATATACACCATAAATATGACGATAGTCTTAAAGTCGCCACAAGTAAAGTACGACTAAACAAATAAAACAGATTGGAAAGAGAAGCCGTAAAGCAGTAGGGTTTTGTTTCATTAGCAGTTTAGCACAATGGAGTCATTTCTGTTGCAATAGAAAAGCATTAGAGGGCCAAATTTTTTCGATTTTATTGAGTCTCAACATGCTTTAGCAACACGGAGTCTTCTGCAGTTTTCAACCAAAAGCACCTTTGTAAAATCAAACCAACGAGAACCCATTTGCAGCTAGCATACCAAAGATTTTACCAGTCACCGTTCTACCAAAATTAGAGTGCGGATCTTATATGTATTCATAAACTCTTACACAATTGAAATAATAGAACTCATAACCTTTAACAAAAACGAAAAGAACTCATAACCACAGTGATGTCATAGCTTTACCTCCAAACAAAAAAGTGATTTTAGAAATCAGCAATAGCTTCCCAACCAACTCCTAGGTAATAGTAATTATTGCCATCATTAAACAGAGATGAGAACTTATCAGCAACCCATGCATCCATGGCCAAAAATTAATAACATCAAACAGTGACTCACACAGACAATACTGATTGACGGAACACGAGGCGGTGTTAACGCGAGATTGGAGGTTTGAGGACAGACCCTGGAGTCTAAAGGTTTCAAGTTGAGAAGGACCAAGACAGAATACTTGGAGTGCAAGTTCAGTGACCGGGCCAATGAAGCGGACGTGAACGCAAGGCTTGATACACAAGTCATCCCTAAGAGAATTAGTTTCAAGTACCTGGGGTCTATTATCCAAGGTAATGGGAGATTGACGAGGATGTTATACATCGGTATGCAGCGGGATGGGTGAAAGGAGGCTCGCATATGATGTTTTATGGGATAAGAATGTGCCACCCAAACTTAAAGGCAAGTTCTACAAAGCTGTTGCTAGACCGACTATATTGTATGGGGCAAAGTGTTGGCCAATCAAGAAATCCCACGCCCACAAGATGAAAGTAACATAAATGAGGAAGTTGAGATGGATGTGCGGGCACACCAAGATTGATAAGATTAGGAATAAAGATATTCGAGTCAGGGTAGGAGTGGCCCTGATGGAGGACAAGATGCGAGAAGCGAGGCTTAGATGGTTTGGGCATGTAAAGAGGAGAAGCACAGATGCACCAGTGAGGAGGTGTGAGAGGTTGGCCTTGGTGGGTCTGAAGAGAGGTAGAGGTAGGCCAAAGAAGTATTGGGGAGAGGTGATTGGGCAGGATATGACGTTGTTTCATCTTTCCGAGGACATGACCCCTGATAGGAAGATGTGAAGGTTGAGAATTAAGGTAGAAGGCTAGTAGGTAGTCGAGAGTGTTTTTTTCCCATACCAGAAGTATTAGTGTTAGTTTTGTATTATATTACTGTTAGATTTCTATTACACGATGTTCATTTCGCCTTGTTTTCTTACTATCTTGCTATTGCTACTGCTTGATGCTACTTCTTTCTTTGAATCTTTCCTCTTTGAATCTTTTCTTGAGCCGGGGGTCTATCGAAAACAGCCTCTCTACCTTCAAGGCAGGGGTAAGGTCTGCGTACACACTACCCTCCCCAAACCCCACTTAAGAAATTATACTAGGTTTTTTCTTGTTGTTGTTGTTGTTGTGAATCACTGACAACTTCAATTTACTAGAACTAGTAAAATATATCATCTGTATAACCTTACTAAAAAAAGGAATTAGCTAAATATTTCAGATGGATATTTTGCTCAAACCATGTTTCCGCCTGTTTCAGCCAAACAGAAGATGAAGAAAAGGTATGTAAAGTTACATCGGTGTCCTCTGCCTGATCATCATCATACAACATAGACGAAAAAAAGCTCTCCTACATTCAGCAACTAATGACCAAAACTCTTTTCCTTGAAACCATTTCTACATTATGTATCCAAATATGTGTTAAAATGCTGAGGTCTCCTTCCTTGTAGCTTCCTGGTATATTAAATAAAGGCACACAGAAAGAACACCAATTTTTCTTGTTTGGATATATCTTTCAGATTTGATACTTCTGACCAATTTGACAAACCAAATAAAGCATCACGCACTCACAGTTGTTGAAAAGCCACCTCTGTTTTGAATTAACATTCCTTCACAGTAATTTTCCTATAGCCATTTAAGAAAACATATAAAAGTCTCGTTATCTACAACAGCCCATGTGTCCTTATTTTTATTTTTGGCAAGTAAAATGAGTACCTATGTAGGCCAGTGTCCTTAATGATAGCTCTCATAGACTGCAAAAGAGACTTCTATCCTCGCATATTGCCGAATAGAAAATCCTTTTCACATAAACAGAAAAAATTCACATAAAGAGAAAAAAGCGAGAATCATAGAGATGAAGAAGAAAACTTGGTATATAATCACAACCGTTTGACTAAAAATAAAAATCAATTCCAAAGAGTAGATAACAGGTCCAATTAGAAACCGAAAAAAGAGAGACCCACCTTGCAGATGAAATACTTATTCCTAGTTTTAAGGACTCAAAAAATACAATCTTCTATGGTGATGATTGACAAACGACTCATGGTTAAAGATGAGTAGCCTCCAACTGATATTAAAGATGAACTCAAATATATCTTACTAGTTAATTTGCTCGCGCTTCGTGCGATTAGATACGTATTTTTTTTGTAAATTTTGTTGCTATAGAAGGGAATAAAAAATTTGTAATACCAAAATCAATGAATAAACATACTTGTAAGACATACACATGAAAAAACTGAAAATCAAATGTATAGGGATATAAAAAGAAAAAACAGTCAATCATGTGAACATAAAAAAGAGGACACGAAGCATCCCGCATTCAATCAAGTGAATATCTGTGCATGGATTATTAGTAACCTTTTTCTTGTTTTGTTCTTCTTACCATCCAAATGAAAACAATATAAAATGGGTAAATCACAGTACTAATCTCTATCTCCGCTCTAAACACCAAACCAAGAAAATTCATTTCTTGTTATCCATAGATGGAGTAAAAAGTTAGTTTTTTCCTTTACCACAAATTTCTATATTAATAAAAATAGTTAATTTTTTAGAAATATGTTAGCATTTTTTTTTTTTGGGGTGG